GCCTCCCCTGACTCCCTGAGCCTCTCCTGGACTGTGCCCCAGGGCCAGTTTGACTCCTTCACCATCCAGTACAAGGACAGGGATGGGCGGCCCCAGGTGGTACGAGTTGGAGGAGAAGAGAGAGAGGCCACTGTGGGGGACCTGGAGCCTGGACGCAAGTACAAGATGCACCTGTATGGACTCCACCAGGGCCACCGTGTGGGTCCCATGTCCACTGTTGGTGTCACTGGTGAGTGAAAGTGGGGAGGGGCAGGGCAGAGCAGAGCAGTGTTGGAAGTTGTTTGATTCTCCACCAGCTTTACAAAAACAAAACTTTCCCAGCAGCAATGCTGCTTGTTCATATCTGAGTGCCTTGTGCATCTGAAGATTTGTATTCATCAGGTTGGGGCTGGAGCCTGATATTCTGTATTCCTATCAAGGTTTGTTGCCTCTGGTGCCTTGGTATACCTCCTCACAACAGAGCAATGTGATTGTCCCTTGCAATTCATTGCTGAGAATTTTGCTTGCATCCCTGATTCCTCAGAGAGGCTCCACCTCTGTGGAGTTTCCTGGAAGCCATGAAGAAAGAGGGAAGGTAAAGGGGCACAGCATCTTCTCTGTGCACCTGTAATCCCATTGTAGGATACTGACAGACCTTTGGTCTATGGGTATACTGTTTATTCCACAGTGAATTTCATGCCCTTATCCAGGCATTGTGGAGTTCATTCACCTGTGATGCATGAATGAATTTATGCTGCTTGTGGAGCAGGATAGTGAGTCATTTTGTAAGAGTGTTGGGAAAGAAATGGTTTAGGATACATGCTAAGTGTTAGGTGACTTGTGAGAGACTAGGAGGCAGGTTTGGCTCCAAATTGGATACTGTCAGGAAGAGGGCTCAACTTTATCACTGGGAATCTTGCCAAGTCTTATCTGTGGGGAGGTCTCTAGAGGGAGGCCAAAGCTGGGACTCTATCAGCAGCCATCACTCAGATTAGCTGGATGGGGCTGTTGGGTCATGTCTGTGGTTTGGTGAATGTTCAAGTTTGTGTGTGGAGACATGATTCCAGGCTGGCTCTGTTTTTAAGCTATTCTGGTGACAGATGTCTATGTGGATGACCCATGAAACTATCTATGCTCAACTGGACCACACAGGACTGAGCTGTGCCAAGCCAGCTTTGAGCAAGCAAGGTCAGCTGAGAGAGTGGGCAGCTCACATTGTTAGCTCACATTGCTGCTTTTTTCTCTCTCAGGGTAAAGTTTTGAAAGATACATATACAAGTTCACATTTTTGTTGGGCTCACATTCAGGGTGACAGGCAGAAAGCCAGAAAGTACAGTAGAGGGGGATGAGTCTGAATGAGGCAGGGAATCCCAAGCTAACATGCCTACAGGGAGCTGAAACTTATCAGGCATTAGCCTGGCAACAGCTTTAGAAAGTGGGTATCAGGTAAATGTCCCAACTGGTGCAGAGACCATGAGGATAGAGAGAGCATGGCACACAAGAGAGTATTTTGTAAGATGTCTTCAAGGTACAGGGATGGCCCTGAGGTGTGGGTGGAGAGATGGGAGAAGCTTAGGAGGCCTGAGGGGTATGGTTGCCCAGTTCTCTGCCGAATGTTGGCATCTGATGTGAACATACCAAGCTCAGGCCATGTTAAATATGGCGAGTGCAGGTGAGCCCAGAGTCAGGAAGGGGAGTAGGGAGGAAACAATCCAAGTGAGAAGAGACAGTGGCCACCCCAGGGCCTGCAGCTAGAGGAACTTAGGAAGGAGTCTGGGACAGTCTGAGCCACTCGTGTGATGGCAGCTGGGAGAGGGACAGGTCCAGGGCACTCCCCAGTTTCTGGCTTGGGTGGAGTGTTCTGAGGCTCTTTGGGAGCAAAGACCTGATCCAGGCAGATGAGGAGGCAGCCAGGAGACCCCAGTGGAGGGAGGCCCAGTGTACAGTGACCAAGTGGGCCCTTCTCAAGAGGCAGGTGCTGGAGGAAGGAGAAGTTATGTGGGTGTTGATAGATGGTAGCAGTTGATAGATGGTGGGTGAGGGCTAGGAACGGGGATGTGGAAGGAGCAGGAAGGGGGGACATGTCAGTGGTGCCTTGGACAGCATCACTCTGCTCCTTGGTGCTTTATTT